GTTGGATGGGGCAGGAGTCCCGGGGGGGGCGCAGATAGGAGGTGGGGGCTGGGCCACGACCCCCTCCCCTAACCGGCCCTCCAAACAATTTACGAAACCCGATGCGGCCCTCGGGCCAAAAAGTTTGCCCCTCCCCCCGCTATAAAGCATGTTTTCTAATCCTTTAATCATTCTTGTGGCTTTTCTCTTCACCTTCTCCAATTTATCAGCATCTTTCTTGAATTGTGGACCCCAGAACTGGACACAGGATTCCAGCAGTGGTCACACCAGTGCCAAATACAGAGGTAAAATAACCTCTCTTCTCCTATGTGAGATTCCTCTGCATCCAAAGATTACATTAGCCCTTTTGGCCACAGCGTCAGATTGGGAACTCTTGTTCAGCTGATTATCCATCACAGTTCTCAAATCTTTTTCAGTCACTGCTTCCCAGGATAGAGTCTCCCAGCATGTAAAGTAGGGCTACATGCTTTCTTCATAGATGTATATCTATTAAAACATTGTTGCTTGTGCCCAGCCTACCAAGAAATCCAGATTGCTCTGTATCAGTGACTTATCCTCTTCATTATTAACCACTCCTCCAGTTTTTGTGTCATCTGAAAACTTTATCAGAGATGATTTTGTTTTTTTCCCAGTCATTAATAAAAATGTTAATTGCATATGGCCAAGAACCGATCCCTATGGGACTCCACTAGAAATACACCCGTTCAATGATGATTTTCCATTTTACAATTACATTTTGAGTCCTCTCCATTAGCCAGCTTTTTAATCCATGTAACGTGTGCCATGTTAACTTTGTATCTTTCTAGTTTTTTAATCAAAATTTTATGTGATACTAAGTCAAATGCCTTACAGAAATCTATTACATTAACACTATTACTTGTAATCTCATAAAAAAGATATCAAGTTAGTTGACAGGATATATTTTCCATAATCCCATGTTGATTGGCATTAACTATATTACCCTCCTTTAATTCTTTATTAATCAGGTGTCATATCAGCTGCTCCATTATCTTGCCCAGGAGTAATGTCAGACTGACAGGCCTATAACTACCTGGGTCATCCAGTTTACTGTTTTTAAACATTGGCACAACATTAGCTTTCTTCCAGTCTTCTGGAACTCCATGGTGTTCCAAGATTTACCGAAAATCAGTATTAATTGTCCAGCAAGCTCCTTAGCCAGCTTTTAAAAAAATCTTGGATGCAAGTTATCTGGACCTGCTGATGTAAAAATGTCCAAGTTTATTAGCTGCTGTTTAACATCCTCCTGAGATACTAGTGGAATGGAAAGAATGATATCACATGCTATGACTATATTATCTGTTTTTTCCCAAATACACAACAGATATTTATTGAGCATTTATGCCTTTTCTGCATTCTTATTGTGATAATTCTACCATCTAGTAATGGACCATTACCATTGTTAGGATTCTTTTTGTTTCTAATATACCGGTACTTAAAAAACGCCTTCGTATTGTCCTTAACTCTGGTGGTCATAGATTTCTCCTTGTGTCCCTTTGCTTCCCTTATGCATTTTCTACAATTCCCAACTTTTGATTTATAGTAATTACTATCAGCTTCCCTTTTCTTCCATTTGTTATATATTATTATTATTATTTATTTTATTTTTAGCTGCCTTTTCTTCCCCACTAAACTAGGACAGTTTTTTAACTGATACGGCCTTCTTCCTCAGTTGTGGCTTTTTGAGCAGCTAATAAAGTATTCTTAAACAATTCCCAATTATGATTCACATTTTTTTGATTGAATTATTCCTCCCAGTTGATTTGGCTTCTAATTGTTTTCAGCTTTGTGAAATTGGCCTTTTCAAAACACCAATTATAAATATCACTGGTGTGGACTTTATTGTTTGCAAATTATAAATGTGATCAAGTCATGGTCACCTGTAACTAAGTTACCAGTAATTTTTAGTTCTGTGATCAATTCTTCTGTATCTGTCAAAATGAGGTCTAAAATAGAATTTCCCTATGTTGGATACAACACTTTTTGAGTTAGGAAATTGTCATATATACTATTTATAAATCCCAAGGATGTTTTAGTACTGGCAGCATGAGACCTCCAGCATATGTCACTCAAATTGAAGTCCCCGGATGATCACACAGCTTAGAAAACTTCCTCCCACGGGGAATTTGTTTAAGAAAGTTATGAGCAACTTCAAAAGAGTTTATAAGGAGCGTTGCATTCCAGCCTTGGGTCAGATCCTCAGCTGGTATATATTGGCATAGCACAGGGATCGGCAACCTTTAGCACGCGGCCCATCAGGGAAATCTGCTGGTGGGCTGGGACGGTTTGTTTACCTGCAGCGTCTGCAGGTTTGGCCAATCACAGCTCCCACTGGCCGTGGTTCACCGTTCCAGGTCAATGGGGGCTGTGGGAAGCAGCACAGGCCGAGGGATGTGCTGGTTGCCGCTTCCCGCAGCTCCCATTGGCCTTCATGTTTACGGGTTTGGGGTTTACGGGTTTTTCCTTCTTTTCCAGGTCCTGCCAGCCTTGCCCAGCTGTGTCGGCTGTGTATCAGGAAGTGTCTGGGTCGCTCATGTCTTTATGTAGTCCACAAGCTGAATCTTCCTGAGCCACTTGAGAAATTTCTCTTATATCGATAGCTCTATGACTGTCTATAAGATGATTGCCAAGAGAGGAACAAAATGGCTGTTTACCACAAAGATATTAAACCAAAGTGAAAAACAAAGACATCATTTACTGCTTACTATAGGTACCAAACTACTTAGCTGCTGACATAACAATACTCCCTGACACAATACTCCTATATGTTGTAACCACTGGAAACTGCTTTGTAGCACAGTGCATGTTACCAGGAAATGATATTCTCACACTTTAGTGTTAAATCCACTGATGTTAGATAAGAGGCTGAAATACGCAAACAGCAGATTGTACAGCTGTGTGTGGGGGGTAGGGGTATGCACAAACAGCTGATTGTGCAGGTATATGTATGTGTGGTATACAAGCCACCTTAAGTATGATTTAATGAAGTCAACTACTGTACAGAAGTCTGATGCTAGAGAAGTTTAAATTAAGCCAAAAGAAATAATTCATTTTCTCCTTTCTTTCCTTTCAAGTGCAGTAAAAAGTCTGCATGAATCTTGAACTTTTGAGATTTCATGAAATAAATCCTCAAATGAAAATATCAAAGGGGAATGGAGCCCCTCATTGACAGTCTGTGTGGAAACATCTGGGGGGTGGTAGGTTCCTACCTTCTCTCATTCCCACTTTATTTGGCTTTGTGAAAGGACACTGGAACTTTATTATGGCTTTAGCCTTCCCATTATTAGTTGAAAAGCCTATGGACTCTCATAGAGTGAACAGAAGGTCATAAAGAGCCAGAGCTATCAGAATATAGCAAGTGGAGATCCTGGGATTAATGGTATGATAGTATACTTCAAGGTTTGGTTTGTTTTTTCCGGAGGTTGGTTGGTTAATAGAAGGAATGTTTCTTCAATCCCAGGCTTTCGATACAGTTTTGCCATAAGCAGGGGGGTAATGATGGCTCATTTAGATTCAACAAAGCTGAAAAGGGATTCCAGCTTCATTTTGTTATCCCGACCTCTTAAGGGTTTGAGGAACAAATACATTTTCAACCTGTGAACGAACAGTTTTCAATATAAGCCACAAAGGAAGATAAAAAGAAATAACTTGAGAAATAGGCATGGTCTCGTGCAGGGGTAGGCAACCTATGGCATGCATGCCAAAGGCGGCACGTGAGCTGATTTTCAGTGGTACTCACACTGCCCAGGTCCTGGCCACCAGTCCGGGGGGCTCTGCATTTTAATTTAATTTTAAATGAAGCTTCTTAAACATTTTAAAAACCTTATTTACTTTACATACAACAATAGTTTAGTTATATATTATAGACTTATTGAAAGAAACCTTCTAAAAACGTTAAAATGTATTACTGGCACGCGAAACCTTAAATTAGAGTGAATAAATGAAGACTCGGCACACCACTTCTGAAAGGTTGCCGACACCTGGTCTAGTGTGAATGTAGGACCGAAAGCCAGGAACTTCTGAGCTCTAACCCTTGCTCTGACAGCAACAACGTCTCTGGCTTTGGGCTAGTCACTTAACCTCTCAGCTACAGTTTTGCTATCTGTAAAATGGGAGTAATTGTTCTCCCTCACATTATTATGACAGTTCAGCATATGGAAGATGAAAAGTGCTAGGTATCACTATTTCCCTCCGAGATCAGGCAGAACAGACCTGTGATGTCACAGCTGAAGTTAAATGCATTTTCCTGCCTCTGAAAATAGCCTGTGTTTGCATAGGTTGGATGTTCTTTCCATTGCCATTAACAGCAAGAACCATTCTAAAGGGGCAGCAAAGTTTTCACTGAGTATAAGCATTTCCTCATATGGTACAGGACATATGCCAGAGTTGGATTAGCATTTGGAACTTTGTAGCCTCAAAATCTCAGGAACCTATCAAAACCCGAAAAGATTGTGTTCATTTTCTGTCACTCAATGTCATTATCCTTATCTTTATCTAATCTGCCATATTTTAGAGCATCAGCCATAGTTTCTAGGTGACATCTGGGATCTAAACAGAGAGGCAGACACTCAGCTGATATAAATTGTCATAACTCCATTGAAATCAGGTGAGCTAAGACAATCTACCTGAGCGGAGGATCTGCTCCAGAGTGTATAATACACAATTGTTTTCCTTATACACACAACAATTAATACAATATGTAATTTACATGGGATTTTAAATTTAAAAGAATTTATATTCCTTAAAGGAATGGAAATCCCATGCAGCAACTCTGGAAGGTCTGTATTCTGGAGTGGCAGTAGCTGCTCCATAGTTATAGTTGAACCTAGCTTCCCATCATCAGATCAGTTTTCAACCCTTATCTCAACTTTCCTCCAAAACAGTATTCTTCCTGAAATTTCACATGGTACATCTTTATTTCTGGGTAGAGGTTTTTGAGAAGTTTGATTAAAAAAAATCAGAAAACAAGATTTAAAGTTACGGTGTCTTGAAATCGTATTAGAAGTTCACTTGATATGTTGTCCAAATTTTTTTTGCCCTAATCCCATTTCCTCACCTAAAAATGCCACAAGTGTTTGTTGTTGACTGTATTTTGCTTTGTGACAATTTACAGAAGTATTGCTTATGACATGGCAGGAGGTGGTCTTTCATTTTCTCGCTCTCCAATATCCCTTATATCATCTACCCAAATCAGCTGTTTGGATGAACCGTCTTTTTCACAGGAACATGTAACACCTATGTACATCTGTGCTGTAACGTCTAGTGGTCTGATATCCTTTTTTCCAACAGCGGCCAGTACCAGCTGCTTCAGGGAAAGGTGCAACAAATCCTACAATGGACAATTATGTAATCTTGAAAGTTTCTTTCTAATCACTGGCAGTTAGTATTTGCCTTATCCTTTGTAGCGTGAAGTGGGATTGTGGAAGTTCTTCGTTTTCCCTATAATGATCTGATAAATTTTTGGGGGGGACAAAGTGGGTGAGGTCATATCTTATTAGACCAACATCTGTTGGTGGGAGAGACAAGCTGTTGAGCTTATACACGGAGCTTGTCTTCAGTTGAAGTTGGTCCAATAAAAGATATTATCTCCCCTATCTTGTCCCCACCTATTAAAAATAGTTATGTGGTAAATTAGCCAGTTTATATTGTTTATTTGTTTTCTCAGAGATGAACAATATTGACATCTGGTACTATGTTAACGAATCAGATCTCCTATGCAAATAAGCATGGCCCAGTTGGCTAGGAGTGAGTAAAGGGAAAACTTGCTTACCTCTGAGCTACTAAATTCACATATACAAATTCCTGCTTTCTGAGTGGCTTGTCAGCAGGGCCGCCCGGGGAGGGGGGGCAAGTGGGGCAATTTGCCCCGGGCCCCGCAGGGGCCCCCACGAGAATGTCAGAGGCTCCCCCCCACCTCCGCCTTCCCCCATCCCCTGGTGCCTCAGCGCACCGCGTCCAGGAGTGGCCCTGGACAGCTCTGCAGCGGCGTGGCTTGGATAGGACCTGAGCTCCTCCCTCTCAGAGCGTGGTAAGGGGGCGGGGCTGCAACCTCTGGCTGAACGGTGGGAGCTCAGGTCCCGCTGGAGCCACGCTGCTGCAGCGCTGTCCAGGGCCACTCCTGGACGCGGTGCGCTGAGGCTCCTGGAGAGGGGGGAAGCGGGGCTAAGCAGCATGGTAAGCCCCTCTGAGCTGGACACCCCCTTGACCCCATCCTCCCCACAGCCCTGACCCCCAGCTCCGAGGCCAGCCCCTCTGAGCTGGGCACCCCCCGACCCCATCCCCCCCACTGCCCTAGCTCCGAGCCCAGCCCCTCTGAGCCGGGCACCCCCCGACCCCATCCTCCCACAGCCCTAGCTCTGAGCCCAGCCCCTCTGAGCCAGGCACCCCCCGGCCCCATCCCCCCACAGCCCTAGCTCCAAGCCCAGCCCCTATGAGCCAGGCACCCCCCGACCCCATCCTCCCACAGCCCTGACCCCTAGCTCCAACCCAGCCCCTCTGAGCTGGGCACCCCATGACCCCATCCCCCCACAGCCCTGACCCCTAGCTCGGAGCCCAGCCCCTCTGAGCCGGGCACCCCCTGACCTCATCCCCCCACAGCCCTGACCCCACAGCCCTGAGCCCAGCCCCTCTGATCCGGGCAGCCCCCGACCCAGAGCCCAGATCCCCACCCAGCCCTGGGCAACAGCAGCACCACCCCCAGGCAGCGACAGCCCATTGGCACCAACCATCACCATCACCCAGCGAGAGCCTGTTATGTAATTGCAAATGTATACATACCATTAAGCATTTAATGTTTTTAAATAATGTATTTTGTGTATTTTCAAATTATTAAAAATTAATTTTTGAATGTATTTCACTGGTTATTTTTTACATTTCCAAATAGATGTTACTATAGTATTGCAACTTTTTTTATGGAAGGGGCCCCTGAAATTGCTTTGCCCCATGCCCCCTGAATCCTCTGGGTGGCCCTGCTTGTCAGTGGCAAACATGATCTTTTTCTGGATCAGGAAATAAAACTCCCCTGTATGAATCTTTGTTTAAAAGGGAAAAACTGGTATACTCCTGAAATGTGTGGGTATAACTGAGAGGCTGTCAGGTATTTCCTTGGAAGACATTCCACGTGTAAATATGGCAGTATATGTTGCACATTGGCTTCATACACTGTGATCAGCATTCCCTTCTCAGGTTGACTAGTCTTCCTGTTCATGTAAAATTAAGTTGATATCTGTTTATTATTCAACTGTTCACCATTATGTGGTTCTTTCTCTCTGTATGTTCTTATAGGACTGGATCCTACTGGGATTTATACTGGCTTCCACTGTGAAAAAACAAAGTACAGGGCCTGGCTGCAAAAAAGTCTACCATGGAAGGGTGTGGAAGGGGGAAAGTCCCTCTGTTTTCTCCTCCTTCTCCAGATCCTTCCTCTGTGTAAATTGCTAGCATACTCCAGAAAATGGATGGTGATTGCCCAGAAGAAAGCATGGCCTAGACATCTAGGGCATATGCTGACTCAGTGCATCACCTTCAGAGTGGCTACTGGAAATGGAGCCCCTGCCACAATTATTGCTGTCCCTCCCCCCAGTACAAATCCTAAGGGAGGGCAGGTGGCAGTGCCACTACGG